GAGCCAAAATTGATAAGAAAAGTGACTCTTCCTGACATCTCATCGTCCAATTCAACCTTCTACGCACCACATATTTTTCTATTCCTCATTCCACAACCATTTAAAGTCAATTGTTCTTATAATTTAGAGTTTTGTGGTGAGATTAAGTGTGAATTCTTCTCTAAGAGTGTTGGAGAAAGAGACAAGTGAAAGATTTCTTCTTCCTACATTTCCTAGAAGAGGTTGCAAGGGATTTGCTTTGAGAAAGAGTTTCAGATAAGTGTTGTTTATTTATTAGTGTTGTACGAAATTTTATATATGAAATTTGTGTTTTGTTGTATCTTTTTCATAAAATCTGAGTAGTTTACTTTATCTTTCTCCATACTATGAGATATGGTAAAATGAAGAGATAGTATGGATGTGCCAATATTAAAATATAAAATAAATTCTGTGATTTTTCAGCTCTGAACTTAATTTACTTTACCTTTAACCTTTAACCTTAGGAACATCCCTTTTACCCTTCATAGTAGTAATATTAGAAATAAATTTGGTATCATCATATCTGAGAACCTGTTTTAATTTATCAATGTTCCAACTATTATCTTGCAAAAAATCATACACTTTAATTTAATATATTGTGGACTATCATAGCAATCCACCAAAGTACCAGCCCCTAACCAGTCATCGTAGCAAAATGAGACATCATCATTATTAATGTTCCAACTAATAAGATTATCAGTTAATATGGAAACTTTCAGCATGCCTTCCCAAATATAAGAATCATTCTTATAATGAATTGCCTCAAGAGGATGCAAATTTTTACAATTTTTAGTAGACATAAGAGAAGACTAAATAGAATTCAATTTTCTAAAATGATACCATAATTTCCTAAAGCAAATCTGGATGGAATCTTTCAATCTTCTAAAACCCAAACCTCCTTTATCCAAAGGTTTACAATGTTTGTTCCAACTTTTCTAATGAAAGTTCTTTTTATCATTACCATTCCATAGAAATTTGTTAAAGAAATTTTTCAATTTATTAACAAAACCTATGGGCATGTTCATTGCTTGCATAACATAAAGAGGCATAGAAGTTAGGATGCTTCTAAGAATAGTAACTTCCCCTAGACAAAATGAATTTATTCTCCCAACAAACAATTCTTCTTCTTATTTTATCAAAAAAAACTTTCAAAAAGAGCTTTCTTTTTACTAGTTTTATCCAGTATAAAACCAAAATAAACTAAAGGGACTGTGTCTTATTACACTTAGTATAATCCACCATCCAATTCTTCTTATTTAAAACACTTGTCCTCTTAGACCACCAGTCAATCAGAGTAAAAAAATATAATGTACATACATGATAGATGCGGATAAATGTGAATATGTAAATACCACGCGTATTTTGGGCTCCAATCACAATCAAATGGTATAATCCACCATCCAATTCTTCTTATTTAAAACACGTCCTCTTAGACCACCAGAGAAAAAAAATATAATGTACATACATGATAGATACAGATAAATGTGAATATGTAAATACCACGTGTATTTTGGGCTCCAATCACAACCATTTGATTGGCATGATGTAAAATCACACCTACCAAAGCAAAGATAAAAGGCTTTGATTCATTTTTACGTAGTTCTGAAAAGCAGTTAAAGATTCCTACTGATACGTCGGACGGTAAGATCTCAAAGGGGAGGCTGATTTTAGCTAAAAATAAACCAACCGTCCGATTCGGAAGATGCGATCCGTGGCAGTATCGTAATTCCGCTGTCATTTCTAACCTATTTAAGCCAAACATCGAGCCGTCGTCATGCTGATCGCACCCAACTTCCGTCTCCATCTGTCTTGTTAGGGTTCCAAAATCGGAAACACGCACTCTCTCTCTCTGACTATCTTACATTCTATTTTGTGATCTATGTGTGCTATGGCGACTTTTGGGGCGATGGAGGTAAAGGAGAAGCGGCGAGCTTGACAGATCTGTAATATCTTTTCTTTGTAGTGGATTTAATATTAATTTTTCCTTGAGAGTTTTCTAATTTTCTTTGGGTTTTTTCCCTTTTTTTTTTTTGGTTAGGGTGATTGCTGGGCGCAGCGGTTTATCGATCTTTTCCTGGCCTTGTTGTCTCTAATTTGGGGGGATGATTGGACGGTTAAGAATACGAGGGTGCGAATTGGTCGATAAACCTCTGCATCCGGTTATCACTTTTTTCAATTTTTTTTTTTGTTATTGTTTCTGTTTTTTTTGTTTAATTGATTAATGTTTCTGGTATTTTAGTCTGAGAAGATTATTAACCTGCAAGTGTTGTGAGTTGGGATGAGGGAACTTGGTTAATTGGGCTAAGTCAGGGTTGTCATTTCTGTTTTTATTTTTTTATGACTGTATTTGTGGCTTTGATTTCTTTTGTTATTTTATTTTTTTCCGGAGATAAGATGGCTTTCGTGGAGATTTAGGCATGAATTTTATTCGCAGAAGCAGATTATGGAGGCATATGTAGGCAAGTTCTCTGAGGCTCATACAACTTAATCCTAATAGCTCCATATATCTCTTTTTTTTCTTTGAACTTTGAAATTTTTGAGACAGATGGGAGTATTTTTAATTTTTTATATTTGAGGATCATAGGATTTAAGTGATAGTTTTGAATTAAAATTTTCTAATGCCCCCGGGCAAACCACTGGAACAGTGAAGAAAATGAAAATGGAGTTATAGTTGTCTTTTAAGTATTTTCTTTCTTTTTTTTTTTTTTTAGCTTTACGATTAACTTCTATTATATTTAGTTGGTTATGTCTACTTCAGACTAGTTCTCTTTCGGATTTTTGGGGCATGGTATTTGATTCTTTTGCTTATATACTTGATTTTTTGTTTGATTTGTTATGAACCTCTAGTCCTATTTTCTTAGCATCATGTGGTATGAAAATCAATTTTGTTTCTACCTATATATTTACATAGGAGGATTTGCCATTTATCATGAGTGGATTGAATTTGATTCAGTTTCTATCTTTGTATGCGGATAGAGATTAATTCTCATCATGAAAAAAAAAAAAACTCTAGTTTTAGGAGTATGATCTTTAAAAATGAACATATTTTGTAGAAATGGGTATGCATTAGATGTTTTGATTCTTTTCTACCACCTTCAAGCCCTAGTAAGTGACTCCAGATGTTTTGATTCTTTTCTACCACCTTCAAGCCCTACTAGTAAGTGACTCCGATAGCCTCTAATGGTTGGATGAGTTAGTTGTAACAAATGGTTTTGGGATATCTGTGATAAAAGAAACACTTATTTTTTATAGAATCTGCATTTGTTTCCGCATCCCTCATTCATTATTGAAATTATTGGGATTAAATAGCTTTGGAGATTGAGATTCTCAATTTGTTTTGTCATTTTCAATAGTAATTGGGTGTTGAATGTCGTCGAATTTTTTAGCTGGCCACCATTTTTGGCTGCAAGTTCTTTGTTGGTGAATTTAAGCTCATAATGCACCGATAGGGTCTACAGGTGAAGTTTAATGTATAAATTTATAAGCTTGGCCTTAGATTTGTCCACAATACTGACACTTTATTTGTTTTATGGCTATTGAAGTTCTAAAATAATTCATGCAATTTCTTTATATAAATCTGTTCATGAAATTTTTGTTCAATACTGCTATTTTGTACCTCATAAATCATTTCATACTTTTTGGAGCTTGAGGCAATGCTCCCAACTGCCATCAAGAAAAGCATGGCTGACAGAAAAAACAAGTCAAAGTGCTATTGTCATTGAAAGTGAAGCTATTCTCAGTGCTATGAGGTATATATATATATCTGACCTATCCTTGAATTTTGATAAAACAAATAACCATTCATGTAGGCAGTGAAAGATTAGGCTTTTCACGTTTTGTTTTGTAGATTTTCACGAAGTAATGTAGCAGTACATTGTAAACCGAAGTGGGAGTACATTCTAACTCAGGCTGTAGTTGTAGGAATGTTGCTTCTACATGATATTCTTTGATGATAATTAGTTGGATCAATAATTGAATGAAAGTTTGTACCGAAATGGTTATTTTGTTAATGATTTTATCAACTAAGTTTTAAATATTTATTGTGTTTCTTTTATTGCTGCTTGTTGGTGAAAATTTAGTACCAAAATAGGACATATTGATGACAAGAATATGGTCAGATTAGCTAGAAAACCTTTATCAAGTCAATTGCTGTAGTTATGAACTCGACATGTGTGAGCTAAGGAAAGCTCGACATTTTTTAAAGCTCATCAACTCGGCCATTTCTTCCCCCATTACTGTTTTGGATTAAAATTATTCCGTTTGAATTTTCTCATACTGAATAATAATTATTCACGCTATGGTTCATATTTTTGCTTTCTATAGGCAAGATGTTTTCAGTCATTTGATTTTCTTAGTTGAAACATTGAATTTAAACGATGAGGGTTTTAAAGGTCCCACGAAATGCATGGCCATAGTTTCGCTTGAACTGTAGCCCTTTAAAGCCTAGCTATTTTTCCTGTTTGGTTCCTGTTGCTGCTGTTGTTTTCTTTCCATGGCAATTTGCTGTTTGCCATGACCGATCGAGCGCATGGGATTCATACTTATACAGTGTTTTTTTTGTCTGTTGCAAATTTGGGATTGTTGATAAAATTTAAGTTTAAATTATGCCCTATCGTGAATTATATATGGCTGATTTTTTAGTGTCAATCATATATATATATA